ATATTTTCATAATTTGGTGCATGCGCAGACGTTTTTCCGGCGGTGTTGTCTGTGCCACATGCAGTTCAATAAATAAATATTGAGCATGCCTGTTCGTCACGAAGGCAGTTTTCTGTATGTCTGCCAATAAACTATTGGTGGATTATCCCAGACACAGATGAGGTAGGTACAGATGTGAATCTTCCGTCAAATTGCTGATTGTTTTGTGTCACACGGAATTCTCACTTCCGGCGAGCGCTGGCAAGTGTCGTTCTGAAATTTAATAAGGAAAGAGATAGGAAAACGCCGTTCGAAAGACGAAAAATTGTTTTTTTAAAAAATCTACGCTACCGACGGCTATTTTTGGAATTAATTCTTCAAGAGTATCGGTAAGCGATCACTTTTATTGATTTCTTTTTATTAAAAGTGTTAACATAACATTTTATTTAGCAAAAGTTTGTTTTTTCCCTATCTATTCCTTATTAAAATCGTGAAATACACTTGCTGGGAATTTCAGATGCTCATGTATAATAACAAAACAGCGAATGATATAAATTCCTCAAAACATAACTCTGGCATAAAAAAAGCATGAATACTTCTATAATATGTATAGTTTTATTTCTCTGCATTATCAAAATTTAATAAAATAGTGAATTAATACAATTTTAAAGTTTATTTAATCCGTGTGACATAATTTGCCGTGAGATTCACATCTGTATTTACCTCATCTGTGTCCCAGAGCATGACGAGCCAGACAGCTCCAGATTGGCAGCTCCAGATTGGCGAATCTGGAGCCAGCTTTAGATACAATTTCAATCTGGAGCTGGAACGACTAGTTTGTAAACAAACTGCTTTGGCCGCTTAACTACCGATGGATATTCATTTTTTTTGAAAGACCATTTTTTCTTGTCGTATTTCTTAGTACGTGATGGAAAATGAAAACATTATTCCGTTCCGTTCGTCCATAGTAGCTTCTGAAAGATCACTGTTTTTTCTGACAAAGGGAATGGTCAGCGGTCGGATAGATCGCAAAGCTCGTTTAAAACCTTATTTTGTTACCTTTATAATGAAAAACTTAAAAATTTGATCGATGACCATTCTGGAGAATGTATTCAAAAGTAATTTCATGCGGTCAACTTATTTCCACGTCGCGAAACCGCGATAAATAACTCGCGCAAAGTTGACTGTCTAATTTCGCGCACGGCCCGGCTGTCTTAATTTTATCCTTCCGTGAATACTACAACTTTGGTATCCGTAAATTTACGCTTTAGATGAGCAAGAAATTGATATGTTGATGACATATTATCATTTGTTGCGCTTTTCTGAAGAACTAACGATATAAACATGTTTAATATCCGAAACACACGACGCAAACGAGATCGCTAAAAACGGTGTTATTATGCGGCTCAAGTCGTCGAAAGGCCATAACATGTCAAATACGTCTAGCATCGTCTAAATTGCTTCGCAAATTTCTTGCTAATTTCGCCCTGCCACGAATTTGTAAAAGATGACCCTTCTAGAGTAATATTCATACTATCATATTGTACAGCATTTGAAACTTTAGGATGCATATCCACCATGAGCAACTCGTGAAAACACCAGCATTCGTTACCGAGATGAGAAATCAACTTTTAAGAGATGTGAAATATTACACTTAAACAATATTCCGTGTTATCTGGCACGTGCAAGACATTTAATAATCTCAGCGGAAAACCGTATTAACTATAATGTCATGCATAAGTTTATATACGCTGTATTCTTGTTTCAACACATAAGCTAAAAACATCGTTTTTGCTCGTATAAGTTAAATAATAGGAGGGGTGTGCTTTAAGCATTCCTTATTAACATAATCAGCGCAATCGCAAATTCAAACCTACGTATGCTTTAAAAATCTTTTATCTTTGTGAAAAAGCGTCGTGTTTTCTCATGTATTGAAAAAATACAGCGCATACCTAAACAAGGAAAATTGCTTTGTCCCTATTCCTCGGCACTCTTAATTGCATTTGCATTGCATTTGCATGCCGACCTTATAGTTATTAATACGGTTTTCCCCTGAGATTATCAAATGTCCGGCACGTGCCAGCTGATGACGTGTTTTATTGTTTACGTTTAATATTTCACATCTCTTGAAAGTTGATTTCTCATCTCGGTAACAAATGCTAGTGTTTTCATGAGTTGCTCATGGTGGATATATATCCTAAAGTTTCAAATGCTGTACAATATGATAGTATGAATATTACTCTAGAAGGGTCATCTTTTACAAATTCGTGGCAGGGCGAAATTAGCAAGAAATTTGCGAAGCAATTTAGACGATGCTAGACGTATTTGACATGTCATGGCCTTTCGACGACTTGAGCCGCATAATAACACCATTTTTAGCGATCTCGTTTGCGTTGTGTGTTTCGGATATTAAACATGTTTATATCGTTAGTTCTTCAGAAAAGCGCAACCAATAATATTATATCATCAACATATCAATTTCTTATTCATCTAAAGCGTAAATTTACGGATACCAAAGTTGTTGTATTTACCGAAGGATAAAATTAAGACAGCCGGGCCGTGCGCGAAATTAGACAGTCAACTTTGCGCGAGTTATTTATCGCGGTTTCGCGACGTGGAAATAAGTTGACCGCATGAAATTACTTTTGAATACATTCTCCAGAATGGTCATCGATCAAATTTTTAAGTTTTTCATTGTAAAGGTAACAAAATAAGGTTTTAAACGAGCTTTGCGATCTATCCGACCGCTGACCATTCCCTTTGTCAGAAAAAACAGTGATCTTTCAGAAGCTACTATGGACGAACGGAACGGAATAATGTTTTCATTTTCCATCACGTACTAAGGAATACGACAAGAAAAAATGGTCTTTCAAAAAAAATGAATATCCATCGGTAGTTAAGCGGCCAAAGCAGTTTGTTTACAAACTAGTCGTTCCAGCTCCAGATTGAAATTGTATCTGGAGCTGGCTCCAGATTCGCCAATCTGGAGCTGCCAATCTGGAGCTGTCTGGCTCGTCATTCCCAGAGCCTTCGTTTCCTTCCCAAGGATCGCAGGCTCGGGGAACGAGATTGGTCATATGACACCATCTCACCTCGCCCCTGTCCTCACGTGATTCGTGTGATGATGCTGATACTCAGGTTATGTCGCTGGTGGTGAATCAATATGGATATCAAATGCATTTTACTTCTGACATTTTTTATGAATTTTAACAACTTATGTTCAACATTTAACCAAAATATTTATATATCGAATTCAACTGATTATGACAAGCCCGACTGTGTTAAAAATCCAAGTGTTAATAATACATGCAAGACATTGGACTATGTTCTCGGAATAGTCTCGAATGCATCGGATCAAGTTGGTTATAAGCTTCGAAATTCGACCAAAATTCATGTGGAAGGAGATCAGTATCTACAGGAAAACTACAACCTTACGGGATTAAACAACTTTGTAGTAAGTGGAGATGCTGCAGAGGGAGCTGTAATCAAATGTAAGTCAAATCGGGGGCTGATAATTTTATCAAGTAGAAATATTGCAATTGAACGCATGAATTTCCTGAATTGTGGCTCAATACAAAGAGCTCAAAACAATGAAAACATATCATTTCATGCTGGGTTATTCTTTTCAAATATCACCAATGTTAATGTGAGTGGTTGCAACATTATCAACAGTACTGGCATTGGTATGGCACTATTAAATGTTGGCGGTCATGTGATGTTCACACATACACATTTTACTGGGAATATAAACAACAGCAGAAGCGGAAGTAAAGTTCATTCTGGACTTGTACAAGTTGCAGGTGGTCTTATTATTGAGTATACATATAATGAAACTGAAAATGTTCAATCTTCAAGTGATAACACATATATTTTTTATAATTGTACCTTTATCCACAACGGCTGCACATGGAATGTAAAGCATGAACTTGAACCCACCGAGGCAGATAAAAATCATGTCATATTTGGATGCGGTGGAGGCATGGCTGTGACATTTAAAGGAACAGCCCATAGTAACAGTGTTCGCCTAGAGTATTGTACTTTTGCAAATAATTTGGCAGACTGGGGTGGTGGCTATTACATCTTATTTGAAAATAAATCTTACAATAACATTGTACAGTTAAAAAATGTGACAGCACGATCAAACCATGGTGTTTTGTCTGGAGGAGGTGGTAGGTTTCTCTTTAATCCATGTTTCAATTATACAGACATATTAAAGCTGTCACCAAACTACTTTCAGCAAGAAAACTGCTCGTATTTGAATAATGTTGCAAGTTGGGGTGGAGGGGTATCAGTATTTGGATCTAGTGTATATCATGAGGAAAAACCTCGACCTGACAAAAGTTTGTTGTTCTTCAACAGTCAATGGGTAAATAATCAAGCAGTGGTGGGATCTGCACTGGGATTTGTGTCAAACGCTATTGATTTGCAACAGTGGTTTCTCCCTAACATTTGCAATGGGCTGCCATACACTGTGGAGTTGCAAAATTGTACATTTAAAGAAAATAAGATCTGTTCAAGCTGTGCAGGTACTGGCACAGTTGTTGGTACTGGCACTGTATATGTTGATGAAGCACCAATTATCATGAAGAATGTTCACTTCACTTTGAATAATGGGACACCATTGGTATTAGACTTAAGCAATGTTTACATTTTGGGTGATGTCATGTTTTATAACAATAGTGGTATTGAAGGCGGGGCAGTTGCCCTCTTTGGTAGGTCAAAAATTATTCTTGGTCGAAATTCATCCCTAAACTTTATCTCAAACAACGCATCTCTCCGAGGAGGCGCAATTCATGCATATTCTCAAGGACCCAATCTTAAGGCATTTCCAGTCCACCTGCTTTATAGATCGACTTGCTTTTTTAGTTACATTGTTCCTAATACACCTCCACAAAGATGGTCTGCACAAGTAACATTCCAGAACAACAGAGCACCACATAGATCAGGAAAATCAATATATTGTGATACCTTGCAATTTTGTAGAGTTTATGGTAAAATAACTGAAGCTTTGGAATGGGAACCTTTTAACTATGTCAATAAGATAGATGGTGAACCTGAAATAGTGACAGATCCGGTTGAAATTATAACATCAAAGCAAGATTGGGAAGGCTTTCCAGGGCAACTGATTTCTCCTAACGTAATACTACTTGATGAAAAAAAAAATCGAACAAATGGACTTCTGAAAATGTCAGTAACAGATCCAGATAATCAAGTGAACATAAGTAAACAAGTTTCTGAGTATATCTACATTTCTGATGAGAAAAGCTCTGTTCCAATTTCTTTTGTTAGCAAGAAATTAAAAGTAGATTTTAAATTGACACTTAGTTCGGTTTACACACAAGTGATTAAAACCATTCTTGATAATATAACAACATCACTGTGTTATGGTGGCTATGTATTTACCAAAAAAGAAGAGAAATGTGTATGTCAAACAGAAATGGCTTATGGATATATAAGGTGTGGTCAAGATGGAAAAACAATTTATCTAAAGGAAGGATACTGGGCAACAATAGGCAATGATAACCAGTTCTCAGTTTACCCATGCCCTTTAGGATACTGCAACTGTACCGAGAAAGCAAATGGAACTACCAGTAATGAATGCAAGTTTACGAAATTCATAAGGAATACCAGCCAGTGTGCAGAAAATAGACATGGGAGGTTGTGTGGCTCATGTGATGAAGGATATAGTCTTGTTGTGGGCTTGAATGAGTGTAGGAAATGCGATAATGATACAGGTCTTTTATGGCTTCTTCTGATTGTGGCAGGTTTGACTCTCATTGTTTTGGCAATCATTTACTTTGAAATTGAATTTTTCTCTGGTCCTCTTAATTCATGGCTGTACACATATCATATTATTCACTTGTTGCCTTTTAAAAGTGATTATCTTGATCCATTTATTGTGTTTGTGACGAGTTTAACCAATGGTACATTTGACCTAAGCACAGGCAGATGTGTGTGGAGAGGAATGGACGCACTTCAAAAGCTTTCCCTACGATATCTCATGCCTTTTTACTGTATTCTTTTACTTTACCTCATTAATAAACTTCTGCGCAATTTTCCCAATCTTCCCTTAGCTAATCATACTTTCCATCATGCCTTTGTAACTATTGCAATCATATCGTACGCCTCCTTAATTGAAACCACTGTCACTATTCTTCAGCCTGTTAACGTCGATGGCCACTGGTATGTTTTTCAACAAGCTAGTGTGGAGTATTTTGGCAACGATCATTTACCTTATGCCATACCTGCCTTGTTTATTCTTCTTTTTGTCGTCATACCATTTCCCTTTATTATTGCGTTCAGTTCTTACTTTATAAGACGGTTTCAACGGTTAAGGAATTTCATACCGTTGTTTGAGGCCATTCAGAGCCCATACCGTCTGAACCGTAGGTGGTTTGCGTCGTACTACATCTTCTGCCGTTTGATCTTTATAACGTTGCTTATTTTCAGAAATAATTACGAGTACTCGCTCTTTCCATTCATTGAAGCTGTTTGTGTGATTATTCTTTTGATATTTGTTCTTCTTCGACCCTATAACGATGAAAACTATGTCTATTTTAATGTTGATGCATGCTTTTTATCTCTTCTTTGTCTGATAATTTGTGTTGTTAATGCAATGGAAGCGGTCGAGGGGAGAGTAATTGTTCGTTTCTACGAAGTTCTTGCAAGAATTTTTACATACATTCCTTTCGTTTATTCATTGGTATTATTCGCACGTTATTTGTACCGAAGAGTTGAAGCTTATAAACAAGGACGTGCAGGAAGATATGAACCTTTGATGTAACGGTGTACTCTCCTAATATGTAACAAAGGGAAAATTAATACTGTACTTTTCACAAGGAACAAAATAGTTATAGTATAAAGCAATGATTTCTTAAGAAGTAGAAAAGGCATGCAATGTCGATTAATTGGACTAAAAATTGTGGTTATAATTAGAATATATTCTAGTCAGCAATTAGTTCGTAATATTCAAAGACATAATCTATATATTGATGAATTTCTGGTTATGCTGCAAATTTTTAAATAAAGTAGTTAATAAGTACAAATTATATATTATACAAATAATGAATGTTTATGAGTGCAATGGTAAGAATATTTTCATGAGGTGAAAGATGGAATGTTCTATTCAACGAGGCGACAGCCGAGTTGAATGGAACATTCCATCTTTCACCGAATGAAAATATTCTTACCATTGCACGAAGAAACATTCATTATTTGTTTTATATAATACCAAAAGTCCAGAACAGACTAATAGACTCGTATGAGAAGCATTTTGAGGGATGCGATTTATCGAAAACACAAAGAGTGCAATTGTACTATACGTTTTATTCCATTGCACTCCCGGAGAGCGCAATGGAACGTGTTCCATTGCACTCTTGGGAAATGGAATTTTCTATTCAATATCACGTGACCATAAACAGCCAATTAAACGATTAGAATTTAATAAGGTATTATATAAAACCTATTGGAGTGCATGTATATAAGATTTGTTACTCCTCATGTACTAGTAAGACCAGACGACGTTTGGACAAGTACTATATGAACAAGCTTATATGCGTTCATTGGTTGAGCCCTGATAACAATGTCATTGATTCAGAATCATATACATTGAATATACAGTATCTGAATACAGGGTGTCCCCCAAAAAAACTATTGAAATAACGTATTGTTAGAATTTGAATGCCTAAGCACTCTGCTGAACGTGAACCCACAAGTGATAAAAGCTTGACATAAGTAAATTTTATGCATATAAAGAAACTGTTTAAGAAGCTGTTTTAAATTCCCAAGAGCAGAAAATCGTGCGCTTTACAAAGTCATTTATAATATATGCAAAAATGTAAACTCAAATTCTAACAATACGTTATTTCAATATGGTTTTGGGTTTTTTTGAGACACACTGTGGGCCGTTTGGTCGAAAACCGGTTTGCTTAATCCTGGGTTAATTAACGTAAAACTTCAAAGCAAACATTAATTCTAACAGCAGTTGTCAAACTTGGGAATATTTTTCCAAAAATACCATCTGGCATCTGGATAAATGGAGGTTTTCTCGAAGATTTTCTACAGTTTTAAAATAAACGGACATACAGAAGTACACGAACCAAAATAGCGGGTTAAATATTAACCCAGGATTGACGTTAATCGTTCTTTGACCAATCGCCCCCAGAGAGACTAGAGTTTAAAATATCCGCGCTAGCTAGTTCTCCGTAATGAGTAATGTACTATTGATACGATGAATTTATAGTTTTATAATTATAAGATTATGTCTTGACATACTACAAAATCGCGTTTGAAATATTGAATTTTTGGGTGTGATTCGCATTCGTATACTGTAAATGATGAAAATAAAAAAAGTCAATGATAACGAAACATTTCATTTTATGATTGATGGCTTATTCACGTGCTTTATGCTATGCATTGATTTTGATCATACGATTTCTGAATTTGACGTTTGAAAAAACTGTTAGAGCTTACATGCGTTGTCTATTTCGCAATTTTCCTATCAATCGTTTAGGGGCCTGAAAACCTGAATAAGAGCCGGTAGGTCCGGTACAAGAAAGGTACACGTACCAAACAGGCTACAAACATATCCATATTCAAAATATTTTGATAGAGAGATGAAAGATCTCGTATTTTTCTTCAAGGCGTTGTATGGTTATATCGATCTTAACAGTAACAATCGCGTCTCTTTATTCAACATCATCGACATCGTGATTCATGGTCATGGACGTATATGAATATGTACTCACTCGGCCTAGCCCGATCTCTTTCAAAAACTTTCTTAAACGCAGATATTTAGATCTTCTACGCTCAGCATTTGAGCAGTATAGCAAAGACTTAAAGGTGTGTTTTAATAGTCTATCTTTAATCGTTTGTGTGTAACCTGTGTTGTGTTTTACTGTTTTGTGTGTCAACGTCCGTATGTATACTATATAATTGTACCTATACTGTGAATAGAATTGAACTGCAGGTGCCTTGCATGGGAACATTTTGAAGAGTGCCGTTCGTGCCTTGCCTTTTTTGGATCTAACTTTAAAATATCTGCGTTTCACTATGTATTTTTTGCATGTTTGTATATAGATTGATCCAAATAAATTTGTTAAAAAAAGACCATACCAAAAAGACTCTGGGCACGAGGTTGAGTGAAACCTAGGCCTTGGGCACAGAATAAGAAGGTACAGCAGAAGCGTAACTCAAGCAAGTATTTGTCCGCGTTTTTACAAGCGAATCGTCATCAATCACGCTATCCTGGCTAGTACAACCGGTACTTTGTGCCTACCAAAACCTTATAAAAACTTCCGGTTGTACTAGCCAGGATGGCGTGAGCGAGTTAAAATTTTCGTGGACGTAAAACAATACGCTTCTGCTGTACCTTCTTATTCTGTGCCTTCTTATTCTGTGCCTTGGGACCAACTTGGGACAGATGAGATGGGTCAGGCGAAACCTTCACGGGGCGAAACCCGCTATTTAATATAGACGCTAGTGCCTACTAAGATTCTAGAGGTTTATAACCGTGGGGTGAATCACCCCAAAAAATCTTCTGAAAATTCTTAAAAAAATCCATATAAAATTTTAAAAAGTCCTATACCCACAAATCTCGAAAAAAATCCCAAGCAAGGGTAGTTCGAAATCAGAAAAATCTTAAACGTTTTGGAGCTCGTTTTGGAGTGATAAGCCCCTTTGTTGATAAACCTGAGTAATTAAAGCCATAAAAGATGAAATAAAGAAGAGGAAAATATATTGGCTATTCTCACAAACGTATTGAACGTATCGCCTATATAAACGGATACCTGTCAAATACTGAATCACAAAAGACTAACCCAGTCATTAATATTGTTTCCATAACAACCCTGTGTATGTCAACAAGCCTGGTTACCAAGCCGTGTAAAAGATGAAAATATGGCAGCGGAACAAAGCTGAACAGTATAAATTGTCTTTGAAGTAGTATTTCGCAAACGTTTTTACATGTAAAATATAGAAGCTATTTTCTGTTTATAGTACTTCGTTGGAATGACCTTTGGTTCTAAAATGTCGCATCCTTCATCTAAGGCAAGAATAAGGTATGGATTTTGGGTTGATATGTCTGATATGTTTTGTACATTGATTTCCTCAAGTTAGAAATAGAATTATATAGCTTAAATAATTTGTAGATTTGTAGTAGAAATGTGAAAGAAATATCTCGGGTAAAATTGGAAATCAATCCTCGTATCAAGGCTTGCCAAGGATGAAAATAGTCCATGCTTTAAATTCGAGTATTATAAAAATAAAATATACTGTATATACATAATACAATATTATTCTTGGTTCTGGCATTCTGCTGATATATTGACATTGTCAATGTCAATGTCAAAGGCATCATCTATTATAAATCATTCAATACCAACGAGGAAATATAGGAAAATTGTTAGATTAGTACTTTATAGTAAGTATTTCATGTCAGCTGTAACAATATACTATATGTGATCGATAGAAAGGGGTATATATAAAAGCTTATTGATCTATTGGTGCTTAACTGCATGTATACCTATGAGATAAATATTTATTCATTGCCCAAACTCAAAGATATTGCACTCAACTTTTGATATGGCATGGATAAAACTGACACCCGTACCGTTTTATCTGTGCTTTGCGGACATACCATTTTTTTCTAACTTTCGAACTAATGTACGATATAATTTTTATAATTTTTCATACATTTATCAAATTTCCTACAACTATTACTTTTCAAGATTTTTTGCATAATTATATATTTTGCCTGACGAGCGTGTTGTTAAAATTGCCCAACGAAACTGCAATATTGCAATAATGAGGGGGGGGGTCACACCCCAACCCCCCAGTAGTTACGGCCCTGAGTATGACAAACTGGAGGGCAGGATAAATATGTGGTCCTTTTAAGTCAAGAATTTTTGCACACTTTTTGTTTTGTTTTGTTTTGCTTTACTTTGACTTAAATTTATGCCAAAATAATGGTGATGTATCAATATGGAAATTTGTAAATATTTCAATAATACCGACAACCGATAATGATATTATACTTATTACTTCAAAAATCAAAAATTATAATTGGACTTACTGTAGAAACTTCATCATATTACTATGAATTGAGAGTATGTATGTGTGTATGTATGTATGTATAAACTTTATTTCAACACAGAAATCTCATCATTACATAAATAATGCTCTTCCTGAGAGCTGTGCATGGCTAATCATGCATTAATTATCACTTAGAAATCATATACATGTGTACATTGATAATTTTATATTTCATAGTTATTTGAATATGGCAAAACATTGAATTTATATTTGATACATTTGGCTCACCGAGATTTGTTACAACCAATTTGTTTTATACAGCATCTGAAAATTAATAATTGTCATTCATCAAGTAAATATTAAAATAAATACATCTTTCTCAAATAAGATTGGAACAAAACGTGTTGTACAAAAAATCCACTCCTGGACCGTGCAATGGAATGTACCTTACATTTAAAATAGCAAACCGTTATTGGATGAGGTTTTTGTGATATCCAGAATTATCAAGATAGCTAATTAAGTGTTATCAGCCCAGCCAAAAGCGAGATTGATGACACTTACCGAGATCTTGATAATTCAGGATATATCACAAAAACCTAATTCAAACTGTTTTATTATACAATGCATTTTTATTAATAACTTTTTCGACAAAGAATGATTTGTCTGACAAAATTAGACAACGTTGGTTTTCAAAAACAAGAGTAAAAACGATTGAATATATCACAATAACAGCATATCTCATAAACATTCACATTTAAAAACGTGACGTTATTCATGTGACTTATTCATGTGACTGTTTAAAACTGCCGCTTGCTATAAAATTACATACCACAGGATCAACCTACACATAACTCAGTTATCTGCAGCAGATAACTGGGTTATGTCACTGCAATGCATATTTTTAACATATATACCAGGGGCAATTTGGCCCCCAGGTCTTCCTGTTGGCCTCCCTTCCACTCATGCGATATTGGCCCCCCATTCCTTGGACCCTTTTAACACATTTTTTTGTGTTAAATCATGAAATGTGAATGTAGTAAGTCTTTGTCTGTATTTCATCATAGTTAATGAGAGTATATATGAAGAAATTCTTTGTGGATTTGTCTGGATGTTTGTAAACATTAACTTTTATACAGTAGCTTTGAGTTAAAATATATGTTGAAAGACATTAAGCACATTGTGAGTAAAAGTGTTAAACATTAACTTCTTATAGAATTATTTAAAATGCACTAAATAGAAATTTTGGAGTCTCCATATTTCAAAATTTTCTGGGGGAGGGTGGCCCCAAACCCCCGTACAAAACTCAAGCCGAGCAAATTGGTGTTTGTATAATTATAAAGGCTGATTTCCACTGTTGCGTTTTTCATATACGTACGTATACGCACGTAAAACTTTAAATCCGTTTAAATGTTACTTAATATATGAAATAACCAAATAAATAAAGCAACATAATTTAGTGTTCCGCAAGTTTTAGTATGCATTTGTTAACTTAATGTAAAATATTAAAAAAATAGAAGGATTCAAAGTTTTACGTGCGTAGTGTACGTGGTACGAAAAATGCAACAGTGGAAATCAAAGTGCGTAATATATTTGTTTCAGTGCTCTTGACAAACTTAAACAAAGTAATGCTGCAAAACTGGAACTGGAGACAAGAAAAATGGAAGAGAGAATTCGTTCACTGAAAGAAAAGATGATGAAAGAGAAAGAAGAACGAGAGTAAGTGCATGAAAGACAGTTCTAAGTTAAATGCAGTTTTTGCGATTGAACTATATACATATGCACCGTCTTACCCAGGATGTGGAATAATTTTGGATTTGGCTCAAACGCTGATATTTTGCACATAGCAGGAAAAAAAATTTTCTTCCTGGGAGCACAACCTGGAGACAAAAATTTCTTGCAGACCAACGGAGTATTTTTGTGTTAATCTGTATGTGCATATTAAACATATAGTGTTCTAGCTGACCATGATTTTAAATTCGAGAAATAATGTCTGTCAACCATATGTTGTTGCGCCCATAGACATAGTGGGACATGGGTGTTAAGGTTTCCTTCAAATTTTCAATAACAAATCTTCATTCAGATGAATTTCTTGCAGCTGTTTAACATTTCCTGCGAGTAGTGCTCGCGTGCTCGCCTATTTTTTCCACCCCTGATTTTGGATAATGTAAAGACAGAGTGTGATACCACTCACTGGCTAATTAGTCCGCATCTAATTGGTTAATCGGATATATGCATGAAACGCATCTGATTACATGGTTAACTAGAGGGCACTAAGGCCTGTTTTATACGTCGAATTTTGGTTGCGTTGAATGCAATTAAGACAATAGATAATGAGATGATAAACCTCATTAAGCTTCATTATCTATTGTTTGAATTGCATTCGACGCGACCGAAATTCAACGTATAAAATGGGGCTCAGAGACTGCATACCTCCGCCCGCATTGAATTTCGGTCGTGTGAAATGCAATAGATAATGAAGGCTGAAGATAATGAAGGCTGAAGCTTAATGAGGTTTATCATCTCATTATTGTCTTAGTACTGCGTGCATACATTATACACGTCCTAATTACGCATTCAGTGAGGTTTTTTTTAATTGACCGGGAAAAGCAAGACAAAATTTTGTTCATTTCTCGTTCAATTTTTAACCAAATTCAACCAAATTTTAATCAGTTCTTCCTTAACCGATGGGAAATGCATTCAAAAAATTTCGTATGAATATGTTTGGTATTTCTTGAGTTATCGTGCTCATAGACAAACACACACACACACATACACACACATACACACACACATACAAACCCAGATGATTACAGTAACCTCCTGGCGGAGGTAATAATCGCTGATGGTAGGGATAGCAATAGTGGAAGTCAACTCTGAACCTCTCCAATATTACGGTCTGGTACTTCTGTTTTTTCAGCCATGTACGTGCATACTTAACTTTTTCTACCATTTGACGTTTTCAAGCCCAACTTACTCAAAAATCAAAACTATAATTTAGTCGGAATATGTGTAAGTCTGACATGACTTGGCATTGAACACGATTGGACTGATGAGATGAGACTAAGGAACCGTGCTGGAACATGTCCGGCAGCGCCAGCAGCACCGCTACCAGAACATTTTTAACAAAATATCTTCGCAGGAAATTTTCTTACATCTTGCAGGAAAATTTTGTCATGTTATGGACTGGAATACCATATAATTTACATATTGCTTAAAAATTCCAAAAGCATTTTGCAACGTGAGATTGTTTTGTGCCGAGATTGTAATTTATCACAATGTACGGCACCCTACGTTCTCTGAAATCTACATAATTATGCAGGAAGTTTTAGATTTGATTTACACACTCAGGAAACTTTTATTTTGGGATTTTGCTGCCAGGAAGAGAAATATATTTTCTAGGACTGCTAAGGAATGTTGCAGGAATGTGTTCGTATATGCAATGGGCCATTCCCCAATTAACCAAATTTTGATCTCAACAAGTCTAGACAAAATTACATCATAGCATGAAAGAGCATCACAAAATTAGTAATATTCCAAAGTTTCGTTGTAGTCCAGCGGAAAAGTAAAAAATCATGCACTTTGTGAAGAAAGCACCCAATTCACAGGAAGTGTAGACTTTAACGTGGTAATGAATCTTAGATATGGAGGCATCACCAAAATTGATGCTGACGGCTTAAAATTTCGGATTTCTTATATTCTCTTATTAAATTCTATTACTGTTTAAAATTGTGAAATTGCAGGTTCACATATAGCAAAAATGACTTGCATGATTAGAAAGCTTACAAAAAACTACATATAAGACTTTTAAACGGCTGATTGAATTTAATCTTTAATCTTTAATCTTTAATAAAATTATTTAAACACGGTAGCCTGTTCAGCAGATAATATTTACAGCGCTGGTTTTCAAAGGGCCGTGTGTTTACAACAATAATATAAAAAGGACAAAAAGAATATAACTATTTACAATGAATTGATACGGATGAATTAAGTAATTGCCGTTTAAACGACAAAGTTGAAAGATTGTTATAATTTTCAATAGTTTCACTTGGAAGTTCGTTCCAGGACTTGGCAGCTCTATACGAGAAACTTTGTTTGAGAAAATTTGTCTTAGGTTTGGGTAGGTTCAATTTAATTTGATTGCTTCTTAGATTGTAATTGTCATTTTGACTTACTGAAAACAATTTTTCAAGGTATCGAGGTAATCGACCAGTTAGTACTTTAAATGTCATTATTAACTGTCGTTGTTTTAGAAGTTCTTCTATTGGAAGCCAATTAAGACTATCTAGCGTTTGCATGGAATGAACCTCGTATGTGCCCCTGTTATCACACGTGCTGCTCTCTTCTGCAGTATAAACAATTTATCAATTATCGAACAACATCCATCATTCCAGATTGTTGAACAATAATTGAAATGAGGCCACACTAAGGCATTGTAGATTTTTATCAGACTATCTCTATTGACAAACAATTTTGCTATTTTCAGCAGGGCGATATTATTTGAAATTGTTTTACATTGCATTTCATTACGTTTATTCCATTTTAGCTGGTCGTCAAGGATCATGCCTAGTGACTTTTTTTGGTAAACTCGCTTAATGTTGTTTCCCCCTAATGTTAGTACTGGGCTATTTTCAATTGAAGCTAAGCGACGTCTTGATTCTATTATCATAAATTCACTCTTTTTCATATTTAATGAGAGCTTGTTAGCTGTCAACCACCTATGAACATTTTCAATGTCTTTATTAAGTTTGATCTCAATTTCATATGGACTAAACCCTTCACAAGAAAGGCTTGTGTCATCAGCAAAAAGATTTGCTTTAGTTGTCTCTAAACAGTTAGGAAGATCATTTATGTACAATAGGAATAAAATAGGCCCAAGGTTAGAGCCCTGAGGTATCCCGCATTTTATTTGTCTAACAGCTGACATCTTGCTATTCACAGAGCATATTTGGCTTCGACCAGAAACGTATGATTCGAACCATTTCAGGCTAGTTCCTTTTAATTCCATATAATTCAAGCTTTGATAAAAGAATATGATGGTCGACAGTATCAAAAGCTTTTTTAAGGTCCAGAAATAAAACTCCGCTAAGTAAACCTCTGTCCATATTGAACAACCATTCATTTGTAGAACTAAGCAGTGCAGTTTCAGTAGAATGTTGATGACGGAAGCCAGACTGCTGTTCCACAAGAATGCCATTCAACCTCAAGAATGAACTTAACTGCAGGTATACCAGTTTTTCGAAAAGTTTAGCTACAGCTGAAATAACAGATATTGGCCTATAATTTTCACAGTCTGCCTTATTTCCTTCTTTAAATATGGGGGTCACCTTTGCTAATTTCCAATCATTAGGGAAAATTGCTCTTTGAAGGGATACATTGAATATGTTCACTAGTGGTCCTGCCACAATGTTAGATGCATCTTTTAGTAACCTTATACTAATACCATCAAGCCCTGGAGATTTCTTAGTTTTAATTTCATTGAGTGCATCTATTGTTTCTTGGAGTGTAATGCTTGTAAAGTTGAATATACTACCATCAAGAGGAGTCACAAAGTTCATTGGATCAATGCAGTTACCTGTGATCTTGTCAGACAACGTACTGCCAATTGTGGAAAAATATTGATTGAAGGCATCTGCAATTTTATCATCGTCAGTAATAAGTTGGCCATTTATATCTAGTTCTTTAACCTCTGAAGTTTTAGGCTTTTTGTTTAATAATTCGTTAATAGTTCGCCAACTTTCTTTGCTATTTTTAGCATTGCTTAGTTTATCTCTAAAGTATTCTCGGCAAAATTATCAAACAACATTCGGCAAAAGATCACTCACGTCCCCCCCCCCCACTCGAAGAGGGTTAGCGCCGCCCCTGGGCATGTGAAGCGGCGCCTTTTGACTGCAACGATCGAAATTTGATCAGTTAACTTTATGATGATAAAAATAGGGTTTATTCGTTTGTATACATTGCCGTATAAAACATATATGTTTGTTTACTCTGCGCCGTGGCAAATTCCATAATAGGGCTAAAACATTGACGTTGGGCTAAAACATTGACGTTGGGCTAAAGCAAGTTAATTGTGATACGTATGTGTAATGGTAAGTAGTTTATTCTTTTACTAAAAATTTTCGAACAAATTATAGAGTCAAAAAATTGACACTCGACAATTTTTTCGACTCTCGACATTTTTTTTGACCGTCGACATTCTACCCTCGCCCTCGACCTATTACCCTCGACCCTCGACCATTAGTCAAACTCCGCCTACTGGATCGAGTTTGCAGTATAGTTGCGTGACTCTAGGAAGGTCAATCCTCTAGTTCGTTCTGTTGTGTAAGAACAAAGTTTTGTATCTGTGGACGTTATTGTGATACCTGTTGGTAAATTATTTCTATCCACATTGTATTCTACGTACTCGCAGTGGTTTTGAAGCCAAAGTTAAAGTCATTGGTGCGCGTACGCGTGTAAACCAACGTGAGTACACATTCGAACTTTCTTTTGTACATTTGCAATCACAGGTTTTATATGTTGTTAAATGATTTAGCTATTGTATATTCAGTTGAAATCAATTCACTTATGTTTAGTTAATGCATGTTTAGGTATGATATAGTTCATTTATTGATAGTTATTACGTGTTCGTGCGATCGCGTGATCAAGTGATTCATATATAGTCACGCAAACAGTATTTTCATAGTTTAAGTAGATATTTTTCATTTTCATGTTATTTACTTCGAA